GACAGTGACACAAGCACATCACATGCATGTCACCATGTGCAGCACATCACGTGCACGCCACCATGGACACAAGCACATCACATCCACGCCACCATGGACACAAGAATCACATATGCACGCCACATGGACACAAGCACATCACATGCACGCCACCACGGACACAAGAACATCACATGCACGCCACCATGCACACAAAGCACATCACATGCACGCCACCATGTACACAAGCACATCAAATGCACGCCACCATGGACACAAGCACATCACATGCACGCCACCATGGACACAAGCACATCACATGCACGCCACCATACACCCAAAAACATCACATACACTTAAGTCTGTACATCAACACACACACACACACACACACACACACACACACACACACACACACACACACACTCACACACACAAGGGAGCCAGGAAACATATGCCCACACACGCACGGAACTACACAGGTACAGTAGCTAAAACAACTATCTGTGCATACTTTGTGGGAAACAACATGAGACCATGGACGATAATTTTTGGTATATGAGGTCTGTCACGAATCACACGTCAAATTTCGGAGCATATCGACCCCCACCTGCACAGATATTTGTTTCAGCTACTGTAGTACATAGAAGCACATCCCAGCACCAGAGGTTTCATTATCCTAGCACCAGAGGTTTCATTATCCTAGCACCAGAGGTTTCACTATCCTAGCACCAAAGGTTTCATTATCCTAGCACCAAAGGTTTCATTATCCTAGCACCAGAGGTTTCACTATCCTAGCACCAGAGGTTTCATTATCCTAGCACCAGAGGGTTCACTATCCCAGCACCAGAGGGTTCACTATCCCAGCACCAGAGGTTTCACTATCCTAGCACCAGAGGTTTCATTATCCTAGCACCAGAGGTTTCACTATCCTAGCACAGAGGGGTTTCACTATCCTAGCACCAGAGGTTTCACTATCCAAGCACCAGAGGTTTCACTATCCTAACAGAGGTTTCACTATCCTAGCACCAGAGGTTTCACTATCCTAGCACCAGAGGTTTCATTATCCTAACAGAGGTTTCACTATCCTAGCACCAGAGCTTTCACTATCCTAGCACCAGAGGTTTCACTATCCTAGCACCAGAGGTTTCACTATCCTAGCACCAGAGCTTTCACTATCCTAGCACCAGAGGTTTCACTATCCTAGCACCAGAGGTTTCACTATCCAAGCACCAGGGGGTTTTCATTGTGAAGCCTTGTGGATGATGTTAAATTCTAGATGGCTTAGGAGAACAGTTAAAAAAATAGGCGGCCTTGGAGACACTGGAGAACGATAGTCTAAGTTAGTATGGAGATATTAGTATGATACGTGAAAAGAGTCCTTGGAGACACTAAAGGAGCCTTGGAGACGTTAAGGGCAGATAGGAGCCCATGAAGCCAATAGCTTTAAGAAACTTTAGAAACAATAAGGACAGCTTGGAGACCGTGACTTTAAAAGACCAGACACACCTAGGAGACCACATTGTTATCGGGAGTTGCTGGAGACGAGGGCAGGTTGAAGGAGATCACGAGTGAATATATCGGTTATCGGGTCTGGGTGTTAAAAGAGTCGATTCACCACTAATCCGATAAAGGAGGTTGGGGGAGGGGCATGGTGTGGTGGTGAAGGGGGAGTAGGGGTGATGAGATGGAGTGGTGGTGGTGAGGTGGAGTGGTGGTGGAGTGGTGGTGATGAGGTGGAGTGGTGGTGATGAGGTGGAGTGGTGGTGGTGAGAATGTGGAGTGGTGGTGGTGAGGTGGAAGTGGTGGTGGTGAGTGGGTGGTGGTGGTGAGGTGGAGTAGTGGTGATGAGATATGGAGTGGTGGTGGTGAGGTGGGATAGTGGTGATGAGATGGAGTGGTGGTGGTGAGATGGAGTGGTGGTGGTGAGGTGGAGTGGTGGTGGTGAAAGAGGGAGTAGTGATGAGATGGAGTGGTGGTGGTGGGAGTGGAGTGGTGGTGGAGTGGTGGTGATGAGAATGGAGTGGTGGTGGTGAGGTGGAGTGGTGGTGGTGAGAATGAGTAGTGGTGAGATGGTGGTGGTGGTGAGGTGGAGTGGTGGTGGGTGAGGTAGTGATGAGAATGGGTGGTGGTGGTGGTGGAGTGGTGGTGGTGAGATGAATGGTGTGGATGGGTGGTGGTGGTGAGGTGGGTGGTGGTGAGTGGGGTAGTGGTGATGAGATGGGTGGTGGTGGTGGAGTGGAGTGGTGGTGGTGTGAGCCAGGGGTGATGAGATGGGTGGTGGTGGTGGTGGAGTAGTGGTGGTGGAGTAGTGGTGATGAGATGGAGTGGTGGTGATGAGGTGGAGTGGTGGTGGTGATGAGGTGGAGTGGTGGTGGTGATGAGGTGGAGTGGTGGTGGTGGTGAGGTGGAGTGGTGGTGGTGAGGTGGAGGGATGGTGTGTGCGGGGGAGAGGATTCTAGTTTGAGGTCTCGGAACCGGATTCAGATCGAGACTCGGATTCGTTGAGGGTGGTAATTTTTGAACTCGGACTAATAAACAAAACCTAATCTAATTTAATCCGAATGAGCCCGGTAATACCTAATTAATGTAACCCCTTGAGTACTGGGTCATCTTTCGTATGAGTGGAGGTAGTGTGCTGACCTAATCAAATATGGCATAACTTGACCTAATTTATCCTAGTCTATTCAAATTTAACCAACGTAACTTAACCAAATCAAATCTAAGCTAACGCAACCATCTCTAACCTAACCTCACTTAACCAAATCTAACTTAACTTAACCTAACTTCTTCTTTACTTCTAACTTCTTCTAACCTAACTAACCTAACCTAACCTAACCTAACCTAACCTAACCTAACCTAACCTAACACCAACTTACGCTTCTTCTTCTAACCTAACCTAACCCCTAAGCTAACGCAACCATCTCTAACCTTACCTCACTTAACCAAATCTAACTTAACTTAACCTTACCACATCTAACCTAATCAAATGTAACGTAACCTAACTTAACCTAGTCTAGGCTAACCTTATCCAACCAAATTGAACACAACAAACCAAAACAGCCAACCAAACCAAACCTAATCTAACCAAATCTAACCAAACCTAATCTAACCAAATCTAACCAAACCTAACGAAACCTAATCAAACCTAACCTAAACAAACCTAACCTAACCCAACTTCGATCCGAATTTGAGTTCTGGTCCAAAGGTCATGACACCTACAGGTTCTATCTAAATATTCCTATTAGCTGGAGAAAAAACGTGTCTAGTCTCCATAGAGTCTCAGCTTAGGCCCGACGCCAGTTTTGCAAGCTATCATTTTTGTTGTGGTTGCATAAGTTTGGGAATTTGACGTGATTTTACGTCAACTATATGGTAGAAATTATCGTAAGAATCATTACTGCGGATAGTCAATTTCGTTAGGTTAGGTTAGGGTAATTTAAGTTAGGCTAACTCAGTTTAACTTAGATTAGATTAAGTTAGGTTAGGTTAAGTTAAGTTAGGACAGACCATTAGTTACGACACACTCAGAGTCCAATCCATTAAAGCCTCCCTCGTAGGACGTCTCGCTAATACAGCAGAGAGATGCCGCGGGAGGGATCACTTACCAGGGCGAGGGAGATTCACTTTAGCCTCATCTGTGTTTCGTCGATCACGTTACGAGGGGAAATGGCGCACTAAATTCCACCATTTCAGCAAAACATTTTCATTGTGTTGTGCTGTGGAGGGATACGCCGCTAGTCCAAGAAATTTCTTATCAACGTCTTTGAGAATGTTTTACGTAGCTTTGAGAAGATTCACAAGAAAAGAAAGAAAAATGAAAAAAAGGAAAATAATATATATATATATAAACGGTCTCTCTCTTTCTGAGCCAGACTGTCAGGAAAAGTTTTTGACCAGAGATATCAAACGTTGCGAACACACACACACACACACACACACACACACACACACACACACACACACACACACACACACACACACACACTAACAGGTCTAAATATACCAGTGTATATAAATGGAGAATAATTTTTTTTTTACTTTTTCGGGTCAATATGCAGGAGTTGTTGGAGGGTCAGGGCCTTATCAATGTCGTAAAACTGGCAACGTTTTCTTTATCAGGAGTTTCATGAGAGGCGGTGCTGAGTAGCCATTATCACCAGCACCACTACCACCACCACCACCACCACCACCACTACTACCATCACTACTGCTGCCACCGCTATTACCATTACCACTACTACCATCACTACTACCACCACCACCACCACTACTACTACCTTCACCACTACTACCACCACCACCACCACCACTACTACTACTACTGCCACTAGTACCACCACTACTACTACTACTACCACTACTGCCACCACCACACTACCATTATTACACCACTACCACACCACCATGGCTCCAATATCACACCACCACACATCTGGCCACGACCACCACCACATACCTGGCCACGACCACCACCATCACCACCACACATCTGGCCACCACCGCTCAATAACTATGAGGCCACAGTTTTGGAGGAAAGTGAAGTGAGTGATACAGAGGTCATGATGGGATCAGACCGCGGGGGGATTACTGGAGAAGTGAAATAATAATAATAACAATAATAACAATAACAATAATAACAATAACAATAACAACAATAACAATACCAATAACAATAATAATAATAATAATAATAATAATAATAACTCTACCACTACAACAGTCTATAAACCCGTGGCTCTTATAGAATAAAAGCTTGAGAGATTCTTTACTACAACACTGCAAGCAACACAGTACAAGTTGACACGAGAAGACCCGAGCCACCTGCTGACGGAGTGCGATGAGCCGCTATACCGAAGGAGGTGCTCGGGGTAGGCAGTAGAGGAGGGTTCAGAGTGATATTATTTATTGCTGTAATTTTAATGCCATTTTGTGAAGTGTGTTGAGATTAAGGTGTGTTTTGCCAGTCTGTCTCTCTCTCTCTCTCTCTCTCTCCTCAAAACACCAACAGGAACACTCACCAGAGATCCAGCTGCCGTTGAAGGTGTGGATCTTGAAGCTGTCACCCAGTATATCGTCTAACTCAAATCTCCGACCTTTGACCCTCGGACCGTCATCAGGTGGGGTCAGCAGCAACACCGACGTCACTATCATGCCCAGGACGAAGCAGATGACCAGGACGGCGATGATGATGCCCTTCCAGTTTCTTTGATTGGGGTTGGACGAGGCCAGTTCCTAGTGGGGAGAGAAGAGGGAGATGGTTAATTTTATGGTGTCTGAAAGTGTTAGTAAGGTGAAGTTAGGGTGATTGGTTTGGTTAGGTTAAGGTGTGATAGGTTAGGTGAAGTGAGGTTTGGTGAGGTAAGGATTTGATTGGTGTGGTTAGGGTGTGATTGCTTAGGTTAGGTGAGGTTAGATGAGGTTAAGGTGACTGGTTAGGTTCGGTTAGGTTATTGTGATTGGTGTCAAGATCTTACTGTTGTGGGTCCCCTCTCACATAGGCCTCAAAGAACATGACAGAGTTGATGCCCTCGCCAAACATCCGCGTCTAACAAAGACACTGTTGAATACACTCTGGGTCTGTCAAGGAGATCCCCTAAAACTATAATTAGGAAAGAACTTACTGATGAATTTGACGCAAGCAGACAAGTGCAAACAGGCACTAGTCGATCCATCGTTTGCCATAATGAGAAGTATCAAATAAAACATATATATGGAGCAAGGAGCAAGTAACAAGATTACTAGATTACAAGATGTAGTAACCGCTAGACTGAGGTTAGGATATAAGTACCTCTGGCAGTATGTTCCTCAAGCAGATGTAAACAAGACTAAATGTAAAGTGTGTGGCCAGACATATGGCCACACACTCGCCCTCGACTGTGTGAAGATAGAACCTTTTGGGGACAGGTCCAAGCACACTGTGTGTGAAATGGCACAACACTTCATCTTTAATGACAAGATAGCCGACATATTATGATTGTATCCACTTTTTTGCACTTAGTAGCTATATCAGCACCCATGTATAGAACCAAACACCCAATGTGCTTGAATACCTCTCACGCAAATGTGAAAAAGTGTGTTGCCAGACATATTGCCTCACACTCCTGCAATCACGCAGCTGAACTAAACAAAAAAATTATTTGAGATACTCTGTAACATTCAATGCCATAATGTCCTGACACGGGGGTTAGTTATACTGACCCTTTGTAAACTCTACTCTGTAATCCTATTTTGCGCTACCGCTCACAGGATGAGTATGGAGTGCACAGTAAACTAGCAGCTGTAAGTGGCAAAGTTAAAATTAAAAAAAAAAATGCTTAGGTTACGTGAGGTTAGATGAAGTTAGGATTTGACTAGTTAAGTTAGGTTAGGGCGAAAATGTTTGGTTAGATTAGGGTGTGATTGGTTAGGTTAGGGTGCGATTGGTTAGGTTAGGTTAGGTTAGGTTAGGTTAGGTTAGGGTGTGATTGGTTAGGCTAGGTTTGGTTAGGGCAGATGTGGTGTGGTTGGGGTGTGATTGGTTAAGTCAGCTTTGGTTATATTTTGCACAGGTTTGGGTAGGGTAGGGTTGGGTAGGGTAGGGTAGGGTAGGGTAGGGTAGGGTAGATAGCAGAATATTAGATAGAGTTAGGCGATGATTTAGTTCGGTTACATTTAGATTAAGTTAAGTTTATGTTAGATTAAGTTAGGTTTAGGTAAGATAATGTTAGGTTAGGTTAGGTTACCTCAGCTGATGTAAAATTCAACCTCTTTACCAACTTCTATTATTATTTACAAGTGCAATTTCTTTCTCATAACCAAATTAATTATCAACTTACCTTTTCCTTATCAACAAAACGTCATAAGTTTCCCTTGATCACACCAACACCTTCATTTGTTCATAATGCATAAAATACTACATATTAAATACATAGATCTAACAGCTACAGTGGATCGTATATCAGTGGAGAATTTTTTTGCACAACATATACATTATTTTCATCCCAACATTTTTCCCTACAGTTCTGCCAAGTTGCCTTTTATTATTGGTCATATCAAGGAGCGAACGATTTTTTCCATCTGAATTTCGGAATAACAAAGATTCGTATAATAAATATCGTTTATATGAAAATATGCCAGAATGAACAGTACCTAAAGGAGTTACTTAAGACACAAAACCTCATTCAGGCTCTACCTTAACTAGTTACAGTCACTTAGCAGCAGTTAGGAGTTAGTTAAGGGAAGGGTATGTTGTTAGTTTATCTCTATAATGTCTTAATATTGGGATTAATTGCACATGTCTTGTTTCACCAGGAAGGGAGATGGGGTGGTTAGGGAATACTAATCAGGTCTCACCAGGAGGGAGGGAGATATACTGCTTTATGTGTCACCAGGAGGGAGGGAGATATACTGCTTTATGTGTCACCAGGAGGGAGGGAGATATACTGCTTTATGTCTATATGCTGCTTTATGTCTCACCAGGAAGGAGAGAGATATACTGCTTTATGTGTCACCAGGAGGGAGGGGAGATATACTGCTTTTGCTCACCAGGGAGGGTGGGAGATATACTGATTTATGTCTCACCACTAGGAGGGAGGGCTATACTGCTTTTATGTGTCTCACAGGAGGGAGGGAGATATATAATCTCACTGATATACTGCTTTTATGTCTCACCAGGAGGGAGGGAGATATACTGCTTTTATGTCTCACTAGGAGGGAGGGGAGATATACTGCTTTATGCTGATATACTGCTTTATGTCTCACTAGGAGGAGGAGATATACTGCTTTATGTCTCTAGGAAGGAGGAGATATAGCTTTATGTCTCACCAGGAGGGAGGGAGATATACTGCTTTATGTGTGTCTCACTGGGAGGGAGAGATATATGCTTTATGTCTCACCAGGAGGGAGAGATATGCTGCTTTTATGTGTCTGGGGGAGGGAGATATACTGATTTATGTCTCACCAGGAGGGAGGAGATATACTGATTTATGTCTCACGAGGAGGAAGGGATATATACTGCTTTTATGTCTCACCAGGAGGGAGGAGATATGCTGCTTTATGTCTCACCAGGAGGGAGGAGATATACTGATTTACGTCTCACCAGGAAAGGGAGATATACTGCTTTTATGTCTCACTAGGAGGGAGGGAGATATACTGCTTTATGTCTCACCAGGAGGGAGGGAGATATGCTAGCTTTATGTGTCTGGGAGGGAGGGAGATATACTGATTTATGTCTCACCAGGAGGGAGGAGATATTCTTTTATGTCTCACCAGGAGGAAGGGATATATACTGCTTTATGTCTCACCAGGAGGGAGGGAGTGTTCTGCTTTATGTCTCACGAGGAGGAAGGGATATATACTGCTATGTCTCACCAGGAGGGAGGGAGATATGCTGCTTTTATGTCTCACCAGGAGGAGGGAGATATACTGATTTACGTCTCACCAGGAAGAGGGAGATATACTGCTTTATGTCTCACTAGGAGGGTGGGAGATATACTGCTTTATGTCTCACCAGGAGGGAGATATACTGATTTATGTCTCACCAGGAGGGAGGGAGATATGCGATTTATGTCTCACGAGGGAGGAAGGGATATACTGCTTTATGTCTCACCAGGAGGGAGGGAGATATGCTGCTTTATGTCTCACCAGGAGGAGGGAGATATACTGATTTACGTCTCACCAGGAAGAGGGAATATACTGCTTTATGTCTCACTAGGAGGGAGGGAGATACTGCTTTTATGTCTGGGGAGGGAGATATGCTGCTTTATGTCACCAGGAGGGAGGAGATATACTGATTTATGTCTCACACCAGGAGGGAGGGAGATATTCTGCTTTATGTCTCACCAGGAGGGTGGGAGATATACTGATTTATGTCTCACCAGGAGGGAGGGAGATATGCCGCTTTATGTCTCACCAGGAGGGTGGGAGATATGCTGCTTTATGTCTCACCAGGAGGGAGGGAGATATGCTGCTTTATGTCTCAACAGAAGGGAGGGAGATATGCTGCTTTATGTCTCACCAGGAGGGAGGGAGATATGCTGCTTTATGTCTCAACAGAAGGGAGGGAGATATACTGATTTATGTCTCACCAGGAGGGAGGGAGATATGCTGCTTTATGTCTCACCAGGAGGGAGGGAGATATGCTGCTTTATGTCTCACCAGGAGGGAGGGAGATATGCTGCTTTATGTCTCAACAGAAGGGAGGGATATATATATTGCCAAAACTAACCTAACCTTACCTGTAGTGGATACTCTCCTCTACAATTGCCAACTGCCGTTTTGTCGCTGACCAGCCGACCCCTCGGCGAGTTTTTCTTCCCAAGCCTCGCTTTCTGACTGCGAGGTGATTGGCCAGTTCCCGCCTTTCACCTCAGCAATTGAGCAGCGCCACTCCCTTCCAGCAGACTTGTATAAATACCCCCAGCCTCGCCGTGAAGAGGATTATACTCAACGCTCTCAAATAGACAAGACCTCCTCTCAACAAGCTCCTCACCACACAGCAACTCCCTAGCACTGCATTTGTACATACAATAATATACAGTATATAGAAAACACCACTGTGAGTTTCCCTTCTAACCTCCATCCTTAGTGCGAGGTCTCCTACAAGCAAACGCTACAGTGCTCTCGACTTCCCGATCGTCCCACGAAGGTCCCCTCCTCAGAACCGACTCCCCTCAGCCGGCAAGTTTTGCCAACATGAGGGGTCGACGTAAACGCCCCAGAAGAGGTGTCCCCTCTCTCATTGATGCCATCGCCAACTCGCCTGGTCATACTGAATCCAACACCCTTCAAGAGTCAGTCCCCAGCGATTATGACAGTGACGGCAATGTTTCTATGGGAAACACTAGCTGAAGTGGAAACACCAATGTCACGGACCCTATCACCCTGCCCTCTGCCAAACAGCCAAGTAAGCTAAATCTGCACTTCCCCAAGGACTCACTGAAAACCACCGAGGAACAGTTTAATTGGATGATGAAGTACTGCAGACAACACGGTCCCAACATTCAATTCCGACAAGGCAAGAACCGGAACTCTATCAAGTGTCAGACCCTTGAGGTCTATGAATCACTTAGTACTGATGGGTTTGACGGGGTTGTCCTGGTGCTTCCCCCCCCCCAGTAGACGCTGATGAATGCTGCCACATCCTAGTGAAACGATTCCCCCTATATGCTGACATCCAAGATGCTCGTGACTTTAATTCTATAATACTCAGTAGGGTGTGACAGTTGCCCCAACTTTGCTCTACAATGCTGTTCAAAATTTTGGTGCTGCATATTGACATAAAAAATACCCACGTGCAATTTTTTGAAAATTCGTGCATATTTGAGCGAGCACCAGCAATTTGAAAAATAGCGATTTTGCTTATACGGCATACGCGCTTATATATGAGTTTACACAACCATCATAAGGGATATTAACACAAATCATTTGCCTGTCTTAATTAATAGCTGTTATCACTAACACAAAAAAGTTAATCATTCTTATTCTCTCATGGTACATTAAGGGGTTTTATCATATATTCACAAGGTATTATTTCTCTAGAGCAAGAAACCATGATTTCTGTTCGGAAACAGATGATCGTTTGTGCTGATTAGGAACGCGGAGTCTGTCATTTTCAACTACTTGAAGGACTTCTTGAAAGAGCTCCTCATCCCTGGCAACATTAAGAAAGTCATGGCAAAGTTTTACACCACGCTCTGCAGCCTCATTATTGACCTGAAGCTTGTCCACAACCCGTTTCATGTTCAGGAAGTCGTCAAGATCCGCCCATTCACTGGCTGGACTGTGGAGAAACTGATAGGGCATGCCTAAAATGGTGAAGAACCGGCTTGAGTCAGGCCCAATTAGGTCCACCAGGGCAGTGCCACTTTCTGGGACAGGGGGAAGATATGGCTTTCCATAGCCCCCATGATTGAGCCCCACTCTCTTAGTAACTTCAGTGCCTTCATGGCAAAGAAGGGCCTTCCTCATCTCCTCTTTTGTCCTTTCTTGTACTTGGGACGAGAACAAAGCCAGTGGGGCCAACTCCTCAGTTAGGTACCAAGTGTGTCTACTGAGTGCCACACGTGCTTTGTCAACTATTGTGGCGTCATATGAGGCAAATTCAGCCAAGGTTTCGACCAAATTCAAGTCATTCAGTGGCGCACTTGCTGGAACGGGGCAAACAATTCACCATGGGACATAAACAGTGACTGTGAACACAGCAAACCTTTCTAACTTGCTGATTTGACTTTTAGTCACAACCTCGGCTTTGGGAAACTGCTTTTTGATCTGGCCTGACAAAAGAACAATCTTGAGGGTATAGAGCAGTTTAGCCATCCACCTTGCTTTGTGAAGTGCGCGGGGTAGACCATCGTGAAGTTCACTGGCTCGGATCCTTTAGTTACAAGCAGCAGACAAAGCTCTACTAGCTCCTTGTAGTCGCCACGTTGTAAATGGTTGGGCTAGAGATTCACGGAAGAAGTCAGCCATCTTCTGCTGGCGCTCCTCAAACACTCCAGGCATTGCGGGGTAGTAGTATTTCTTTTCTTCATTGTACGCCAGTTGAGAGAAATGGGTCTTGAACCTAGAAATGCAATTATTGGGATTATTGTATTTCGTACTAATTTATAATATTGTTTTAGGGGTATTAAGATTGATATGATCGATCATTTGCTTGGTGTTAGTATATCTTATAAGTCTAATAAAAGAAATTCCACTAAATTTGTTCATTAGATAATAATATTCCTTGTTATTTTGTAAAGCCGATGGTGCTAGCTCAAACATGCACCGATCTCCAAAAAAATTTACAAGGGTGTTTCCTAGATAAATACACAACACTAAGACTTTGTACAGCATTGTAGGACCATGTTTTTATTTTTAGAGGGCAACGGTCACACCCTGATACTCAGTATACGTCGACATTACAGGGGGAACACCCCACAAGCTACTGTCATTGTCAAGTGGAAGGGAAGGGAATACCCAACCACTGTGGAGGCCCACCCAATCCTCCCTCCACTTTATGCAGAACCCTATCATCCTGGGCCTGCTTTTTGTGTAAACTGTTCTCATTGGGGTCACAACCTTCACTGCCTACTGCCGACGTGATCGTCCCAGATGTCGCTTCTGTTCATGTAACCACAACTCCGCCGCTTGTGCCCAGAAAGTCAAAGACCACCTTAATAGGGGTGGTGTGGGCTATGCAGTTGATCCCAGGTGCTGTAACTGGGGCACAATGCTGACTCACGGCAATGCTCCAATCGCCCATCTGTCCCAGGGGAAAAGCCTCCCCGAAGGCCGTGTCTACCACAACGCCCCCCCCCCCTCCCGAGTTTACCGGGCCGCCTCCCTCAACGACACCTGCCCCTGCCTGGCTTCGCCAGGCTGCACCACAACATCACCTACCGTTCCCTAACTCAACCACTACTGAGCTTCCTCCCCGTCTCTACTCTGATGCTGTCAGGTCTCGTGCTCCCACCGGTGCTCCCCCCCACAACCCCCCTCCAGTGATATGACGCAGATCATGTCCCTCTTCCAAGAATTTACCAGTCATGATGAGAAAATCTTCGTTACACTCTGTACCGCCATCTCCGACCTACACAACCAACTCTTGCCCTCTGCTGCCACCCAGTCACTCCCCTCTTCTGGTTTGACACAAGCTGGTAATCCCCCTGTGAGCCCCCCAAACTCACGGCCTGTGTGTACTGCTGCCCCCGAGCCAAGTCCTGCCTCATCTTCACGACACATGGTGCCTCAACCTGTCCACCTACTGCAAGCCGTGCCCGCTCCTGTGCCTGTGCTGTCTCCACCAGGGCTACCTATTGGACCTGAGGACACCACCCCTGGCTACCCGTACCCCACTGACATGCCGGCACCTAAGGCCCATCCGTCCACGTCAGGGGTACACATGTACCCAACTGGCCCGCCTGTAACCAGTCTAATACACCACATTGGATAGCTACGCTACAGGACTGCAGGTACTCACCTGGAACATAAACGGCTTGCAAAACAAGTTTGGTGCCCTCAAAACCTAAGCCTACACTGAAGATGTCGACGTTCTGTGCCTCCAAGAAACGCGGTGTGCTGCTGGTACCTATGTGCTCAGTGGCTACACATGTGTTGAGAGCCTATCCACCCCTGTTCTTCGCGTCGATGGACCACCACGAGGACATGCACGTGGACTACGGATCTACATCAAGAAGGATGGCCCCTACCAACCTCTCGACGTCCCCCTTGATGACGACACCACCGACGCACACGCCATCACAATCACACTAAAAGGTATGTCCCTCAATACTGTCAATGTCTATGTGCCTCCCTCCACCCCTACTGTACTTGTCCTACCACACCATATCACCTGCACCCCCACCCTCCTTGTGGGGGACCTCAATGCCCGACACCCCAGTCTCGGCTGCCAGGGGTCCCACTCAAACTCCCTGGGTAACTCCTGGCTCTCCTACCTACAAACCACTGATGACCCTGTACGTCTCCTCTGCCCTCCATCACCACCCACATCGGGGGAGGGAAACTTAACTATCGCTCTCTACTCTGACCCTCACCGCCCACACTCCACCCGCATCCTCCATTCCCCTCACAGTGACCATTTCCCTATCCACACTACCCTCCAGTACGTGAGAATACCTGCCCCACCCAAGTGCCCTAGGCTCAGCCTACCCCCTGCCAACATACCTGCCTTCATCACTACCATTGCTGAATGGTTTCAGGGTTTCAGGGTTACACTGCCACCACCGCAGACCAATTCTACCTTGATCTGTCCAAACAATGCACTGACCTCCTCCGCCCTGACCCAGAACACCGCCGCCCTAACCGCCAGCCCAGGAGTTAGTAGAATGTTAACCGCGACCCTCATGTTAAGTCTATCCGAGTATGGCACCGACTAGCAGTCGACCAGTGGAAGAAATCTCCCAGCTCCCCTGACGCTCTACGCTTCCCGATGCGCACAAATAAAGAGCTCCAATCTGCCATCACTCTCGCACGAGAGAAGCAGTGGTTTGATTTTGCTTCTATTGACCAGTCTACATCTATAGGTGATATATGGCACACCATTAACCGTGCCCGGGGCACCAACGACAGACCTGCGCTCCACCTCAGACCAGCTGCCCGAGCTGAGGCGCTCTCCCAGACGTGGCAGGAGGCCGCCTCCATCGACGCGCTACCACCAGCTGTACGAGACCTCACCCTCGCACTGCAACCACAACGCCGACAGCGCATCTCCGAGTACCAAGACCTACCTGCAGACACTGACGTGCCTTTCACACAGTGTGAACTACTAATTGCTGTTAAGGGCGGTCGGTCCACCGCCCCTGGCGATGACGGCGTCACATATGAAGTGCTAAATGCCCTTATTGCCATCCCTGGTAACCCCCTCCTCTGTCTATTTAACCTCTCTTTTGATACTGGACAGCTGCCCCACTTGTGGAAGACTGCCACCACCATCCCAGTCCCTAAACCAGGCAGTCAAGACGAATATCGTCCAATCTCCCTCATCTCCTGCTTCTCAAAGATGATGGAGTGCATGATATGCCACCGCCTCCACTGGAAAATTGAAGCCCACCTGCACTCTGACCTCTATGGGTTCCGCCCTGGGAAGACTACTGCTCACTGCATCGCTCACTACATGGCGAACACCTCAGTCAAAACCTCCCTCTTCGTCGACTTCAAGGGTGCTTTTGATAATGCCAACAGTGAAGTGATCCTTGAAGGCCTCACGCACATTGATGTGAAGGGCAAACTCCTCACGTGGATTGCTGACTACCTCTCCCATCGACAAACCCGTGTCCATTTTCAGGGCCACTACTCTATAATCAGGGACCTTGATTTTGGTACGCCTCAGGGAGGTGTACTCAGCCCTACACTCCTTAATGTTCTCATGAACTCCATCTGCCGCCTCAACGACATCTTTGCTGAGCGCGCCCTAGACGGTCACATCATAAGCTACGCTGATGATATTCTCCTCCAAATTACTGCAGTGCAACATGAACAACCTATACTCTCCACGTTCGCCCGGACCTGTCAAACACTCGGGTTAGTTATCTCACACACTAAAACCAAGTTCATCTCACGCTTCCGGCGTCAGACACCACTGACTCTGCAAGGACAAGACATCGATCAAGTACGCACCTACAGGTACCTTGGTCTACCCGTGCGAGCCACTACCAGCGCCACTACCTCCACTGTCGCCGCCCACGTCATCTCCCAGTGCCGCCAACGAACGAGGCCCCTCCAATACCTCACCCACGGCCTCAAAGGAGCCTCTGTCAGGGTCCTACGTCTCATGTACATTGCTATCGTCAGAGCTATCATAGATTATGCCTCTGCTGTCCTTGCAGTTGCCTCCCAGCGCGAGAAACAAAGCATAAAGAAAATCCAAAACAGAGCAATGAGACTCATCCTCGGCTGCCATATGACCACCAGAATGGAAGTCATGAGGCGTGAACTAATCCTGCTTCCTGTCTACGATCAAATTACTGCTCTCAATGTCATCCTTAGTGTTAAACTTATTCGCAGTGAGCAACCGACTCCCCTGTCGCGCTCACTGAACTCACATCTTAACACCCTCCTGCGCCGGCCTGTCCCCATTACCTTTCGCTCCCCCTCTCAACACTGGCTCGTCCACACTGCTGTTGACATCCAGCGTTATCACCTCTACACCCCCTCGACCTCTCTCCCTCCCGAGTACACTCATCCGCCTCTACCGCCGTGGACTTCCCCGAGTGTTGATGCTGTCGTCCACACCTTCTCTGGTCGTAAATCCACCCAACTGCGGTATATGCTCAAACTTAACTGCCTTGAGCAGATTAATGATGTCGCCGCCTCTCTTACGACCTCCCACCCTCCTATCCTCGTCTACTGTGATGGGTCTGTTACCACGCTGGGCAGCGCTGGGGCAGCTGTGTGGATTCCTGAGCGCCAGGCCTGCAGGAAAATCAGGGTCCACGACTGGGCCTCCTCCACTGACACTGAAAGCATAGCCATCCTCGCGGGCATTCATGAGGGGGCGACCTATGCTCGCACTGAACGCTGGAACCTCCTTATAATCAGTGACAGCACTTCTGCACTAGCGAGGCTCAAATTACCCTCCCCCTCCTTCCAACACACCCTACTCGCCGGGCTAGAACAAACTGATGACAACAGTGTCAAGTTTATTTGGATCCCGTCACATATAGGAATAACTGCCTGTGACACTGTTGATCGGCTTGCCAAAGAAGCGACACAAGAAGAAGATATTGAAGCCACCCTCGCCCTCTCCCTGAATCATCTCAAATCTCTCATACACGCCGCACAACGAGAGGCATTCAACGAATAGTGGACACACCTGAAACAACGGGGTAGCGTCACACGACGCTACTATGACGCTGTAACCGCTGACGAAAACCGCCACTTCAAAGAGTATTAATCCCTGACTCGATCTCAACAGATTATGTACATGAAACTGCGCCTAGGGTACAGATAGCTATGGGAGTACATTGACAACCCTGAGCCTGGCCGCACTGCTTGTAAACTTTGTGGTCAACCCGACTCTCACACCCTCTCTCACTACATCCTCACTTGCCCTATGACCTCCTCCTGCTTGTCCCCCTCACCCCCAGCCGTTACCAACACCTCTTCCCTCCACACACTTTGCCATAAAGGGATGAAATGTCCCGGGAACTTTCCCCCCACACACTCATCATTCTGTCACTTTATGTAACTTGCTGACAAAACCTATGACCCTTCAGGCTTTTCCGCCCTTAATGCATGAGACATAAAGGCAAGCATGAACTTAGCATGCTTCCCAGATGGGCGCTGTAAACGCATCTGCGCTTCACCTTGCACAGGATGTAAGGGGGTGCCCAATAAACTAGCCCCCTCGGGGGCAATCAAAAAAATAAATAAAACTCTAACCTAACCCAACTAACCTAACCATACATAACCAAATCTAACCTAAACTAATCTAACCCAAATAAACCCAACCCAACCCTGTAACAGCACCATTGGTATTATATAAATATTTCCCCAAATGGATAACACCAAAATTATTCACTAAGTTATTCTACAATGACTCAGTAGTTGTTCCTGTCATACATGCTGAGTCTATAAATTCTTCAGAGGTTGAGCGAGGTCAAGCTTAGTTAGCAAATACCTCGCTCGCTCTTCCTTGATTCTCAAGCTCTGAGAGAGAGTAGGAGCAGATTCTTACCACTCGCTAAAGGTAAAACACCCCACTTAAGTGTTCTTATATATATATATATATATATATATATATATATATATATATATATATATATATATATATATATATATATATATATATATATATATATATATAAGTGCACTCAAGACACTTATCTGGAGATAATTCACAATACATTCTCTCCCAAACTAAGTACCTGTGTATATAGTTCTGTAGAAATAAAACAACTCCAGAATAAGTGTCTACATCAGCCCTGTCACTTAAGAGTTCCAGAACTATTATATATATATTTGTGTGAGATATGTATATAAAAAAGGACTAACCCGACCCAACCCAACCTAATCTAAACTACCCTAACCCAACCTAACCCAACCCAACCCAACCCAACCTAATCTAAACTACCCTAACCCAACCTAACCCAACCCAACCTAATCTAAACTACCTAACCCACCCAGCAAAACTACCCAACCCAAGCCTAACCTAACCTGGCCTAACCAACCCAACCCAACCCAACCTAACCTAACCTAACCCAACCTAACC